TGAGTTGGCAGCTCACGGGGGAGAAGAGCTGTCAGCTCTTCCCCAGTGTCCTCATTCATATATATATATTATTTCCTTTTCCCCAAAATTCACCTCTTTGATCCTTGGTCCCAAACCTAAGACAGAGCTCTTTTGTTACTTCTCTTGTCTCCTCACTCCTTTCTTCGCATGCATTGCATGCTTGTATGTCCATTCATTCAATGGTGCATGGGGTTTTCGGTAGGTGCATGCCAGTTCATTAAGGATTGGAAGCCAAAACCAAGACACGTTTGAATGCGTGATGCAGTCATAACTTTCAGAAGACAGTTTTGTAGTTCCATTAAATAAAAAGATTGTGACATTTATTGGCAACTTCCTTTGAATTATAAATTTTAAGTCCAATTTACTACATTCCTCCCTAAGTGTATTTTTTTTTTCTTTTACTTTTTTTTTCACATCTCGATTATCCATATTTTTATGGCATCCTTGTGCAGCTTCCAGGAATTCTCTCAATATCATCGAAGCTTCTTCCCACAGTTATGAACCTCTTGAGACAACTAGCTGAAGCGGGAGAGAGAAATAATACAGCAGCACAAGCTCCAGAACCATCTCCTCCCCTGAATACTCAAAGCAGGAGCCAATCACAAAAACCCCCACCAGTTGTTCCAACTCCTGAGTCATCCTCATCATCAACATTTTCTTCTCCTAGAAATGGGGGTGAGCACGCAAGTACTTTAAAGGAGTCTGACACAGAAGCCAGCAGTACTTCCTAAACAAACTGAAGTGGCAGTATGTCAAGTTTTGTTCATATTAAGAAGGTTTTGTTTAGATATGTCAAAAGGATGACCCAATTTTCAATATTTTTTATGTGTATATACGTTTATGTTTATGCTTGTCTCACTGTGGTGTGTGTTCAGTGGGACAAGTTGCTGTAAGTTAATGGCTGTGGTCATTGCATATCAGTCTCCCTATTATTTGATGATTTAACAGACTGGGTAGTAGGAAGAGAATTTTTTTCTTTTGTACGGTCATAGTACAAGTCTGAGTAGATTTCAAAAGAATGAATATTGGTAAAGGTGGATTGATGGCATTTATTAAAATTTTGCATGGCAGTTATTTAAAGGTTTAATTGCTATAGCCCAGATACGGATAGAATGTTAGTAGTTCTAATTGTGTGGATACATCGTTTGAGGGAATTTTTTTTCATTCGTTTAAGATCCTAAAGGTTTTATAACCCCCCAAAAAAAGTTCTATCGGTGCAAATGGACCCCTAATTGTATTTAAAAGTACTCTTAAAAGAGTCAAAAAATTTGCCGAGGGGGTATATCCACACTTCGGTAAATACTATAGGGGTTTATCCACACAAATAGAACCATAGGGGGGGTCTATCCGCAACTGTGCAATACTAAAGGGGTCTATCTACAGCTAACCCTTATTTAAATCATTTCCTTTCAACTTTGTTGCGCATCGGTATCCCGAAGACATTCTTCCACTACCTGATCCAAAGTGTCTGTCTCTATTATGCTTCCGCTGCATGTTCGATCTCGTCTCCAGTGCTTCCCGCGAGCTCCGTTGTTGCTATCATGCTTACTGTCTCTGGCAACATCACCTTTCGGCGCGAGCTCTGTTGTTGCTATCATGCTTACTGTCTCCGGCAACCTCACCTTTCAGAAACTGTGGCCTGGACCGCCAATATGTATTGTATTCTGTGGCTCAAGCGTCACATCGACATCGACGCGAGAATTTTTCACCCGAAGTAAATCACATCACATCGCAGAGGCATTTGAGTTTTTACCTAGCTCGACTGGTCCTTGCTTAGATTATAGCGCCATAACTTGCATCACTAGCAGGTTGTTTCTCTGTGGACGTCGAGCCTTCATCAGAGCAAAATTCAAGGATCTTCGGGAATTTTTAAGGATTGGTCGCGTACGTTACGACATAATGCATAGATCCAAGAACTTGACCATAAGTCCTATCAGTAACCTAACTCCCATCTCCATTTCATATGGATCATGTTCAAGCAAAATGGCCGAAACTTGTAGTATACAGGCAAGAACGGCAAAATTTACATCAACGTCTACAGCTAGAACCACTAACATATCACCTGCCTGCTACAAGCTCCAACTTCAGTTAACTATCTTCTAACATCATAGACTGAAACCTAAAAAGAGAGTATCTTTAGGGATTCAACAGTCAGGTTGTCTCCTTAAAGCTCTTTGTGAGCCAAATAGCCGTTTCCCTTGGCGACACTTTCTCAGGACCGAAAGGCTTCAACAACACCCCAAGTTCATCGAACCTCTCCTGCTGCAAAAGCTGAGCACTAAACTCAAGCAATCCCTCCAAAGCCTCCGCTCTCTGCTGATACGATGAAGTGTCAAACCTTCGCCTTGAATCTGATGATCCTCGACTCGAGGCATCACCAGCACCATGATTTCTACCTGAAGAGTCACTTCCGTTCTCTCCATCTGCTCTGAAAATCTGGATCGTACACTTGTCCTTTGTTATGGACCGATCACCACATTGTGGGGTTGTGGAACATGAGCCATGAGCTGAAGTGATCTTGCGAATGGAGAGCAAGGGGTCCTCCGATGAAGCTAATGGAAATTCAGCCATCCTATCTATTCTAGGGGCGTTTACGGAAACATCAGGAGACTCCATTCTTTGGAGAATGCTGGTGTTGCGGCGACCGGGGGTCTCAAATGTAGATAAGGGAAGTGATGCCCTTCGGTTTGGGCGGGCTAATCTGTCAACTGGAGTTCTTGATGGCTGTAGCTGCATGAGGGTCACAAGATATGATGTTAAGAGGTGATGTGTATGGTTAATGAGAGTATTATATACCTTGAAGATATAACTTAGCGAGCAGCATAATGTGAATGCCAAGATACATGGGTACGTGAACATAACTATGCATTTGTCACATAATAAGTTGATTGATCTATGCATTTCTTGGATACCATGTACCATGTTCTTTCAGTCGAAGTGACATCTAATAGAAAGTGTGGAGCACTTTTGCCGTGGATAGAGCAACGTCATATAGAAAGAGGAAACTACAATATTAAACAGGGTCGTTATTATATTAGACCCCCAAATCTTTATTAATTTTATATTAGATCCTCAAATCTTCATATTTCTAAATTAGACCCTCAATTCAATTAAGTTACTTTAAATAATACCCCCAAATCTATTAAGTTGTTTTAAATAAGACTCTGAAATATATTAAGCCGTTTTAAATAAGACCCTCATTCAAACAAATATGAAGTTTTGAGGGCTTATTTAGAAATATGAAGATTGGAGGGCCTAATATAGAATTAACAAACATTTGGGGGACCAATATAACAAAATACCTGTAGAGAAAAAATAGCAGTTAAACCTCTCCATAACAGAATATTTTAGCTATCTTATAGTTAATTAGAAGCAAATATGAAATTTGTCCACTGAAATTAAATAGAGAGCATACAGATTTGCGATTTGGTCCAGTATGCACGACTTTTGCTGGCTCCACTTGCTTCCTGGGAGTAGTAAAGTTTTTCGAGGGAGTGTATCTAGGAGTCCTAGTAACAGTCGGCTTAACATTAGTCACTTTAGAAACAACTGACTCTCCAACTCGACTGCTGCCAACTGACAAGTCTTTCATCCCTTGGTTCAAACGTGGATAATATTTTATGCTTCTAGTAGAGCTTATAGAATCTCGCTCAGTTGCAGGTCGGTCCTGTTTCAAGATCCTCTCATTACCCAAAGAATGTCTCTTCTCCTTACTCTTGCACACTGAGTCTTCATCATCATCCGAAAATCTGATTTTCTTTATGTGACTACTAATAGGGTGTGGGACTGGAAGAGAGTTGTAAGTGGGGCTGCACTTTAGATTAACTTGTAGCACATATGGTTGCAGGTGTGGATGCGTAAGCAGTTCTGCAGCCTGGGAAATGAAAATTTTATTAAAAAGGAAAGTGGAATGTGAGAAATAACTTACAACAATGCCTGAGTGCATACGCTAGGCCTATGTTCTGGATTTTTCCGGAGCATGCTTTTAATCAGTCCTCGACTGAAGAACAAAAGCATTGAGAATACATCATGTGAGCTTTCCTCAAATAAAACTAATTTCTTCAGCAAGACAAGATTTTCATAAAACAAGGAAATGGAAAAAGAGGACTTACAAAGCACCAGAATATGAACATGGAAGAGGAGCAACTATTGACTTGGTAATTTTGTTTATTAGACCTTGCATATCCTGCTCAAAAATAAAAAGAAAGTAAACCTTAAGATGTTCATCTGGAGATACGTCAGAATATGCAAAAAGGAATGTCATTTTCTGGCAGGATTTTGTATCCATGTGATACTCATTCAACAAAACCATTACAATACTGTGTGCAGATGAAATGGTTCATGGTGCATTATGATTACTGCAGTATTATCCATTACGTGACCTATAGTCTGTTGGCAAGGCAAATATCCAAAATGATGTGTAGTAGTTAAACCCGAATGCGAACATTAAAAATAGAAAAAGATTGGTTCTCCAATCAAACTCAAATTAAAGCAACAAACAAACCAAATAAATGTGGATATTTTTTGTAGCACCCATAAAATATTCACACTCAATATACTCTTCAAAATCATTATGATTGTATACTACCCCATGAAAAATCACGTACGTTTCTTTCCAATTAAGTCCAAGGTATATTCAATGGAAACTAGCCCATCTCTTATTTGCTAAACACCATTATGCCCTCTTATTTCCTACTAAAGCTGTAGTCTATCATTAAACCAACTTACCTCTTCATTTCATCACTTACTCTTTTGCAGCTTCCTCATCCTATGCATAACACACTCGCCAATCGCTAAGTTTCACTTAACCAAATCCAAGAACTTGACTACCTCTTTAAACACTATCCAATACTATCAACAACAAGTTGCATTAAAACAACAAGAGTATTCACCGACAAAATAAGAACAATCACTGACATTTCGTACAAAACAATATAGTTTAGTGGTTAATTGGATTGGCAATTGATTTGGTAATAGGACATGGTTAATTGGTGATAATTATCTCAATATTGTGGTCCCAGATGGCACATTCCAATGATGCTATAGCAAAAATATATTTTATAAAAGTTGAAGTTGCATTGATAAGTGGGTCCAATAAGGTTTTTCTTGTTTGAGAGATGAAACGTAATTACAAATTCTGCAAGAAAAAGTAAAGGGATTGTTTTATAAAAAAAGATCGGTTTTGCTAAATAATTAGCAAAATAGACCATTTTGCTAATTATTTAGCAAAATAGACCTCTTTTTGGCAAATAAGTCAAAAAGAGGTCGATTTTAAAAATTAGGTTGCTGAAAACATACGGGACTAGTAGTCCCGTATGTTTTCAGTGCACTAATCGGTGATTAGTGCTCACAGAAAACATACAGGACCAGCCGTCTGTTTTTTAAAATTGACCTGAGGTCTATTTTGCTAAATAATTAGCAAAATGGTCTATTTTGCTAATTATTTAGCAAAATCGGTCTTTTTAAAAAAATTCCCCAAAAGTAAAACATCAATAGGAGAACAGTGATAATGCAGATAAGCCAATGCACACATTATGTAGTATGCAGTGAATGCATGATTAAGGTTGTACGTAGAACATTGCAGTATTGTACCGCCAATTAACATGATAATGCATCATAAGGTTGTATGTAGACCATTGTAGTATTGCACCACCAATTAACATGATGGTGTAGACCGCAAGAAAGTGAACAAAAAAGTATCTGCAACTTACGAATGCTTTAAATGCAGGCCTCAAGGCAGTCATCTCATATATACAACATCCTGGATAAAAATGAAGATTATCACCAAAAGGGTTCTTAAGACTCAAAACACTGAAAAAAGACAATTGAGTTTACGTTAACAAGAAGAAGACAAAGAAGACAGATTACCTAATGACCAAATATCAGACTTAGAACCATATGGTATATCAGCAAGAAGCTCTGGGCACATGTAACTAGGAGTTCCTACAACCTGTGCCAGCAGCAGACAACCATGAGAAACGTATCCAAGTCTAATTGTATCTATTCCTCTATAATTATAGATTTACTATTCATGCTACAGTAAACAATACAGTAATTTACTGTGAGATTATTACTACAGCACATACGAGAACTGTGACATTTTTTAAAAATATTACTATAGCATTATCACTGTAGTACAGGCGGGATACTGTGGTATTTTAAAAATGTTACTGTAGCACTTATAAAAACATTTAAAAACAGAATTACTATAGCGGAAATAAAAATGGGGCCGTGCTTTGCACGGGGCGCACACTAGTGAAAATATAACAAGACAAATCACTCACAGAAGAGGCTAGATCATCTGAGGTTAACATTTTAGCAAGCCCAAAGTCACCTGCATCACATTACAATTAGACTTTTATGCAGGGATGACAAGATTTAACTCATCAAGAAGTCGAAAATCAGCATTATTACTAGCTATAATGTCTCAATGTTACCAAACAAAACTCACTTACCAAGGCGTATGCTCTGATCTCTTGTCAAGAAAATGTTTGAACACTGATGCAAATAATGTAAAAACAATAAATAAACAGAAGACGGTAATTCTCTGGAGAAATAAATATCAGCTTGTTTGACTGAAATACCACTGACCTTAACATCGCGATGAAGAATATGGTTCATATGCAAGTAATCTAGAGCCATAAGGAGCTGCACTAGCCACTTGCAAAGCTTCTGCACGCAGATGATAAAGAAGGATGAGAAATTACAGTGTATTATTAGACATGTGCTAGTGTGCTCACAAGCACACACAATGAATCCTACTGCATAAATGAACAACCTCTTCTGAGAAAAGAGTTCCATTTGCCTTTTTTATTGCTTCAGCCCTACATAATATGGAGGATATTAGGCAACACGAATTGAATATTGATTTCAGAATCATCCAAAATTAGAAGTTAGCTTTACCGAATGGGAAAAAGAAAGAACTTACATATCCCCTCCCTCACAATAACCGATGATAATGCATACATAACAGCCCTGAAAACAAACATGCCCACGGTGAGCATTACATCATCAAGGAAATTGATGCACGCAGAGTGATTCCATAAAAAAATTGTTAATTGAAAAACAAATGATGTTGGTCAAAACCAAGAATGAAATAATTATAAGGAGAGTTAAACAGTCAAGCTTAGGGCTCCAATTGGAAGAATATTTTTTCTTTTTATACTTCTTTTCTATGGAAAGCTGGGCTAAGATGTCCTTGCCATAATTTGTTACTCTACATTTCTTATAGAAACACTAACCTTTTTTATTTACTTGTTGCATCTTAGCTTCTTTTTTTTGCTTATGTAAAATGGTAGAGTTAAGCCAATAGCTCAACAGCTCAAGAAAGGATTTGGCAAAATAGGCATTATAATCAAGTGATTAAAACAAATGCCAGAAAGTGGTACCATATTTACATTTCAGATGCATCCATTTGGCAATAAAAAAAGATGGCAATAGTATCCCACGGAAAATTTTAGCCTGCGAACAATCTGAAAATTTTTTCTCCAGTTAAAGAAGGACATAGATAAGAAGAAGAATTTGTAGGTTTATCATCTGAATGGAATCAACTTAATATGCACATTAACATTTCAGGAAATATATCGAGAAACAATGCATTAAGAAAGTGAAAGAAGAAAAAAGAAAAGAAAAGAGAAGAAGCTTTTTAGCAATATAGCACCTCTTAATTTGTAAAGTTAGAAATAATATTCTGTTTCCCATGCTCATCCTTTAAATGCAAGATTACGTGCAGGAATAGAAAGTTATTAATCTTCATTTTATATAACAAATAATTGAACAGAAGCCAAACTGGAACAAGATACTTCTCTTGATAAAAGAAATTCTGACCTTTTCTACCCAAGAATCCTTGTATTCCACAATAAATGGGTTCCTCACTTTGGAAATAAGTTCCATCTGCATAAGCATAAGACTTGAGATAAATCCTGTAGTGGTTTAAATAGTTAAAGGGAAGCAAGTAATACGGAAGCAAAAATAGGAATTTTAATTTCCATTTCATACAGCATTATGTCTCTGCAAATCTGCAATAGTCTTGAAACTACCCAGCACTGACACTTAAATATTTCACGGGACAGAAAATGCTGTACATTACTTGGCAAGCTAATCATACCCCCATCAGCCCATACAGTGTTAGGTGTTGTATTCACTTACAATGATTGTAAGTGCAAGTCTTAGGATAAGATTAATAAGCAATGTTAGATATAGCATTATTATTATTGAGGATCTACTTATGGGTTATAGAACTGGAGGATTTACTCGTGGTTTATAGAATTGGAGGGTTTTTATGCATGCAACATTACTAATAATGTTCTCTTTCTATTCTATTTTAACTGGCCAAGCGACCATTTTTTTCCTAATACAATACGACTAAACAACCAAAGTCATGCTTAAGCTGACTTCACCCAAAAGGTTGGATTAGGTTCAGGTGGCTGTTTCCTAACTCGTGATGTGATTTAAATTGGATTTATTTAGGAATTAGAGAGATTGAGTTAGACTAGGAATGGATTCTCAGCCCAAACCTACAACCTGCCTGGTTTGCAGCCCTATCACTTATGACAATCAACTTATCCCTTTGATTTTGTGTTTTAAATAAACGATAGAGATCACTTCCACTTTAGCTCAGCAATAACTATCATATAAGCAGGGTAAGAAGACTATGAGACCTTAGCTGCTAAGAAGGTTAGCCAGTTTCTTTTTCTCAATAGGCCTCTGAACGATTTTATTATTTTTGCTGTAAGGATGGAATTAGACAGATTTTTTATTTTTTCTGGTTTTTTTCCAATCTCTTTTGATTCTTCAATCTTGTATTTTGATGTATATTAGCAATATAATTTAGTTTTCACACAGGCATATTTTAAATTTTTTAAGATATATTATGCATTTATATTCAATTATAAACAGGTGGTCTTATTTATGTAGCTTTAGCGCTTATCAGCACCTTCCCATTTCAATTCTTTGTATTATCTATAAGCTCCAATGCCCAAATTGAGATACTCTAAAGGACATTGTTTAAGGGACAAAAAACCGATACGTATTAGCAGTGTTATCAAAGGCACGCGTCTCATTATGCCACATGCACCCTATGATTCATGGCAGTGGCAAAGCGGCCCACACCTCATGCAACAGTGCCTCTTGCACTTCACACGCGCCCTATACAATGACGCTTCGCACGCGCCCTATACAATGACGCTTCGCACGGGGCGCATGCCAAGCATAGCCTCATATTTGTTCTTCAACATTCCAAGCAAGTCTTTATAATCGATAACCCATATCTTCAATGTTTCAAAAAGCCTCCGGCTAGCCCCCTAGCGCGTAGGCGGTACATAGGCTGCCCACTTAGGTTTTGGAAGCGTCTAGGGGAGCATGGTCTGCCTATGTGGACTACACCCTTTAGATAATTACCATGATTTCCTCTATTACAACCTCCATGTCCTGCAACCTCCTCCAAACTCCAACTATGAACAACTTCTCTATATCTCTCGACCGTCAACAAAACCTCATCCATCACCACTTAAGAAATATGTCTAGGTGTCAGTCCAACACCTAAACTTTCTATAACACTAGCATTTACTATCAGTAATTATAACTAAAAACTAAAAAAATAGCAAAACGCCTATTCCCCGCCTAGACTCTAAGTGTTGGGTCCAACGCCTAGCTTGCCTAGCACTTTCTGTAATCTTACATATCTCCAGAAAAAAAAACTCATTTAGGCATTTTAGTAC